CCCCCCCCCCCCCATATTTTTTTCCGTCTCCATGATGCGCCTCACACCCCCCTCCCTCCCCTACCGGCCTAGTCTTTCTCAGTCATCCGTCCGTCTCTGTAGTGATGACGTGGTTTATCCCTATTTCCTCGTCTGTGGCACACACCCGTCCCCGCCCCTTTATTGGGGGTGCCCACAAGCGCGATCGGGTCGGGTCGATTTGGTAGTCAGGGCCAGCTAAACTGAGGGCGCAAAGCGGCCGTCGTGGCACAAATGTGACAAACCGATGGACTCGTTTGTTTTGATCCTGCGAGTCGCGCGATCGGATGGTTTGCGGCCAATCACAACATGGCTGAGTCACGTGTCCATGTTGACACTGCGATGTAAAGATCGGGCGGGCATTTCCGCGCGAAATACCATCAACAATAATTGACAACAATGGAGCCCATCGACTTAGAGAAGATAAAAGAAAGTTATCGATGTAACTCATGTTTATGGGATTCTAGGCTGCCACAACACTACAACAGGGAACTGCGGAAAGGAGCCCTGGAAGCCATTTGAGGTTAAAGGTTTCTTTACTTTAACTTCCAGGTCGTCGGGTACAATGGCGGCCGGCTGTAGTGTGCATTGAAACCACCAGAAAACGACCCTATCCGACCCGACTCGATCGCGTTAATGGGCACCCCCTTTTACTCATCGACAAAGACTCATTCAGTTTGTCACAACTGCAGCTGTTGATTCTGAGGACGGTATTTTCCTGCTGGGAAGTTGGCGGGTGCTTACCTGGAAGTTTCTCCTTTTCCCCTATCTAATACATGTCTTCCTTTCCTGATCTCTTATACTTGTCCTACTTTTATTATTATTATTATTGTCATTATTATTACATGTATTATTATTATTAGTGACACCTCTGTGAGTGGTTCGCGGGTGTTCTGTTGTGGCTTTGCTCCTTTTTTTCCTACCCATAGAGCATCTCCTCTGACTTTTTTTTTTCTCTAGTAACACCTGAAATCGTCGACACTTATATGACCTAATTGTGTTGCTAGTGCAGTGCGTATAACTTTTACTAAAACACAAATTTTAATAATTTTGTACTCCAAGACAGTACACACACACAATGAGTGAACGTCTTGGACAGTGCCATTGTGATATATATATATA